AATGCAACATGGTCAGGAGAGAGGGTGCCCAGGCTAGCTGGAACAAGGCTCTGGGTCTGCTTGAAAGCATATGAAAGACATATGATGAGCAGAAGAGGTGTTCCATGTGACCTAGCTTACTGCCGGGCTCCTTCCCAGGAAAAGAATGCAGTGACCACCTGACACGAACATTCCTAGCTGCTGTGCAGGCTGGTACAGTTAAAGATGTAACTTCCCAGGTCCAAGATTCTTATTCCGGGCAGAGAGAGAAAGAGAAAGAGAGAGAGAGAGAGAGAGAGAGAGAGAGAGAGAGAGAGATATTAAAAATAAGACTTGGAATCATTGCTAATTTAAATTTGATTTACCAAAGCTCTTCATTTTTCATTAATAATAGTGATAATAATGTTTTACTTAAAAATATAAATTAGATACATTCTATCCCCAAAACCTTCAACTATCTATCTTTGGTGAAATAATGAAAAAATGATTTTTACTTTAAAAAAAAAATAATGGAAAATAGGTCCCAAACTGGGATACCTCCAGTGGTGAAGGAGGTCAGACAGGTGAGGCTGACAAATCAAAAAAGAGTCCTTTATATTTAGGAATAAATGCAACAAAACAAATGTAAGACTTGCATGCTGAGAAATAAAAAACATTGCTGAAATGAGCACAGAGCTAAATACATAAAAAGACATTCCACATTCATAGATTAAAAGACTAAATATTGTTAAGATTGACAATTCTCCCCAAATCGACCTATGGAATCAATAGGATCACTATAAAAATTCCAAGGGAGACTTCCAATTTCAGCTCTGACATGTAAAGAACTTAGAAGCTGACACATTTGGTCTTTACAACAAATAAAACGTGGACAACCTGAAAACCAATGACTTTTCTTGGACACATCAGAAAATTGAGGTTGCAGGACAAATGACCATCCCCAAATCTGGAGGGACCGGTACATCCTGAGAGACACAGCTGGTATCTGCTTATCGGGAGCAGAAGTTGCTGGAGCCAGGAACTGGCAGCAACCCTGAATGGTCATTTTGACCAACTGCTAGAGGCTGCATGTGGACCAGCATTACCGTGGGAACTGCTGAGGAATGCCTTTGTAGGGGATCCCCACAATACTTCTGGTTCTTGCAGGGAAGGGGGAAGAGCACCGTTGTGAAATATGCCCAGAGCCTTCTCCGTAAAAAGGTCTACACTGCAGGGGAAAAGAATGCCTAAGCCTTACCCAGCTTGAGGAAGAGCATCCCTCCCACTCCTGTTTTATCCAAGGAGAAAATAATGTATTCTAGGGGGGGGGGTCAGAGCTTCCATGAGATAAACTGGGAAAGCTGCAACCAGAGAAAGAACAAACACACTTCCTCCAGAGTCCAGCAGTTCCCCGGCGTGGCTCCCCACTAGGACCACCTGGGGAAATTTAAAAAATGCTGATGCCCAGGATGTACCCAGACCAATCAAGTCAGAACTTCTGGGGATGGGGCCAGGTACCAAGATTTTTAAAAACTGGTCCAAGCCAAATTCACACCAAGTTCAGATCTATTATTGCCTACACAGGCTTGAGTGGTTTGGCAGAAAAGAAAACAGATTATGAATTATCTACTTTACAAGTACCAAGTATTTACCAGTAAAGAACTCACTATTTCTCTAAGCAATTGTAACTGTGCCATGAACTTTCCCATAAGTATATTCAACCATTCCTCTATTTTGTTAATTTACCTTGGTAAATTATGTATGGTAAAACATATCATCTGCTCACAGATAACCAAGAGTTGCTTGTAGAACTTCCCTGCCATTATTTTTAGTCTTATACAAATAACCCACCTCACACTCATATTTCACTTTAGATGATTTCATAAGCTCTATAATTAACCCTAGGGCTGCAGGTGTGTAGTGAGCATCACGATGTGCCGATATGTGTATTCACTGGATGTGCATTTCTATTCATATCACAAATATATCCAAACTGCACCTGCAGATTCCCTGTATCAGCAACCCTCTGAAATGCACACATTTTAATTTCTACTTTAATGCAGAGCTTCCAAATTTGAGCAGATGCTTAAAAATGCACTGCAACCAGTGTAGTGACAGGCAAGACCTTGCTAATCATCCTTCATCTCGGTCTTGTATAGAGTTAAAGCTCCACTACAGGAAAGGGCACTTGATTGACTGATGATGATGACTGGTCCCACCCCCCACTCTCCAACTAACAAAATTTCCTATAGCTACTGCAATTTCAAGAATGATCTGGACTGGACTCATAAGCTTATTTAGTAGGAAGCCAATGACACTTAAGCTTCAGAGCCTCTCACTGTGTATGGGCTTCTTCCAAAGCCCTGGGAGCTATCCTAAAGGTTTGTATTTGTGATTTGTATGTTTTTTCTTTGAGGCAGTTGTGTAAGTGTTAGGCTCCCAAATTCTGTATCTTACTATATAAGTGGGCCCAATGCAACTTGGCTGCCAATCAGAAGGCAAGTACTAAATACACTGTTAAATCTTCATAATGTGAAGTTAACAAGGATTGCTTTAGGGTTGCAATCATACCCACAGAATTAGGCCTTCCTTCATCTCCAATGAGGAACCTCCAATAGAGGCAAAGGGAACATGATATGGAAGGAGAGACCTGCCTATCTTTGGAAAGGGCTGGGCTCTAGGTCCTAAAAGAAACCAGTGGGGGGAAAATCCAGGCTTTTCCAGGGTGTGTGGAAATTAGGCAGGCCCAGACGCTGGAGAGTGGATCACCAGGCCACCTTCCACAAAAAAAAAAATCAGCTTTCTCTGCCCTCAGGGCCAAGCAGGTGCAACCTGTCTGGGGTCTTTACAAAGAAAACTTTGTCCACTTTCTTGCTAAATTTGAAGTTCCTTTTAATGAAGTAGCAAAGCCTTCCAAGCAATAATTAAAGAGAAATGGCTTAACATGCAAATGCCTGGAGTGAATATTTGAAAACATACTTATTAATTGACTGGTCTAACCCAGAGCTGCCAGACTCCTGTGTATTTAGATGGGGGTAGGAGTGGGAGAGGATAAAGCAGGAGGGAACCTGAAGAAAGCCTGAAACATGGAAGCCCAATCTGCATACCATATGGCCAGGAATATACTGGCCCCCACTCCAAAATAAACCCCCTTTCTTACCACCACTAGCCACTGCAACTGACCCATGTGCAACCTGCCACCCTTACAGCAGGGCCACAGCCACCGCCAAATCCAATCCCTTATTTCCCTGACTTCTAAAATGGAATCAGGTGGCACCAGACCACATTCCAGGCAACACCAGCAGCATGGTCATAAAAAAGCAGTGTGCTGGTTCAGGATCAGGCGACCCTGCCCCTCCCTCGCCACACTGGCTATGGGCAATCACCATCCACCCCTCCTCAGCTGGCTCAGTGAAGGGAACCTTCTTCCTAAGCTATTTCAGTAGCAGCGGAGAAGTAAGAAGAAAGGCAGCAGAAACGGCAGTGTTCCAATGGTGCGGAAGACTTGGCTGTTTTGGTTCCTTTATCCTCTGGCCCATTATGCATGCACAAGCCAAAGTCAGATGCCCTTCTCTAAAGCTCATCAGAACTTTGCTGCAATCCCAGGTGAAAAAGAAGGACCTTCGTCCTCCCCAGCCTCCAGCAAATGCGGAAATAGGCTCATGGAGAATTAACATAAAAACTCTTTTTCCTCATGAACCATATTTAAATGATAAAACCTATGAGGAAGTTCTGTACGTTACTTTTTCCAAAGATGGATTGACTTGTGAGAACGAAAGACAGGAGGAGAGGACCTCAACAAATCAGTTGGTTGCCAATTCTGCTGAGAGCGGAATGAGGACTCCTTCATCATTTCACCAAAGAGATGTTCGTTATTATGAGTGGAGTCGACAACAGAAGTCAACTGGATTGACAAGACATCAATGCTATTACTGTTATAGGCTGTTCTGTGTTATGTTGATGGGAATTTGGGGGGAAGGTTTTGAGAATAGTTAGAGCAAACATACCCCAATTTTCCTGACTACGTCCAATGCATCATGTGTGACAAAATACTGGAGGTGGAATGTGGTTAATCTGCAAAGAGTTCCACTCAGATGGGATATATACACATATATATGTATAATTCCTATGGTAGTTCGTGTTCATTATAGAACATCTCTGTTTGTTCTTACTTCAATTTAGAAAGAATTCACACAGATAGTACTACTAGTTACTATTGTTGAATACAGGTTCATAGGCTTTGGAAATGGACTCTTTTGTGGTAAGTGAACAATGGCTAATTAACAAAATACACCCTCACTCATGGTTCTACAAAGCGTGATGATCTGAACCCATGGGGTTAGTTTAGGTGAAGACCCCCAGAGCAACAAAGTTGTTTAAACCACATACAGATTTGTTAAGCAATAGTCCCTCCACCCTCCTTCCCTCCATAAGCCATCCCAACCGCCTTGTATATGCTTTTACCATTTTACTCAATTATAAAGGAAACATCTGTTCCTGGTAATTTGGCTAAAAAGGTTAGAGAACTCCATAAAACAACATGAGAGAAATATCACATCCTTCTGTGATACAGAAGTTCTTCAAAGTATCACCCACACAATACCAGTATAAGACTCACCTGAAGGTGCTTATTTAGAGACAGTGTACAGGTGAAGGACAGTGGGAGATACAGGCTTCTGGCTATGAAATGAGTAAGTTAGGGGGATAAAAAGCACGATGTAGGGAATATAGTCAATAATATGGTAGCTACATTTGTGGTGGGCACAGCATAACGTACAGAGATGTTGAATCACTCGGCTGCACACCCGGAACTAGCGTCAAAGTGTGTGTCAACTATACTCAAATAACAAAATTAAAAATAAGTTAGTACATAAATAAATAATAAGTAAATCAAAGGCCATCTGACACGCTGACTTAGAATGGGAGCTGGGAATCTGCCTTCTTAGTGAGCTGCCCAGTATCTCACCAACACCGGCAGGCAAGCGCCACTGATTTAGTATACGTTCCCGTCAGTCTGTACATGGCTGCTCAGCCACACTCACCTGGTGGACTTCCGTGTCCTGCCGCTGCTGTGGCAATGGCAAAAGCAGACGCCGGCGAAACAGAGCAGTGGGAGTTGTCAGCCGTCTGTCCTGGTTATGCAGAAGAATGGAAATGGCATGGTGAGGCAGATGGGTAATATTCTGTAATGAAAATTCTCATTTTCATTCCTGCACTGGATGAAGGGTTGGGCCAGACACCCTGTATTGTTTTTGTTAAACATCAGTAATTCCACTCTAAGTGTATACCCAAGAGAACTGAAAGCATATCCACGCGAAAACTAGTACATGAATATCCCTAGCAGCATTACACATATTACTCACAACAACCAAAAAAGTACAAACACCCAAATGTCCATCAGCCATGGAATGGATAAACCAGATGTGGTAGAGCGATACAAGGGAATATTATTTAGCCACAAAAGGAATGAAGGACTGATACCTACCACAACATGAATGATCCCTGACAACATTATGCTAAGCGAAAGAAGTCAGTCACAAAAAGGCATGTATTATATGATTCTATGCATATGAAATGTCTGGGAGAGGTAAATTCCCAGAGACCGAAAGTAGATTGGTGGTTGCCAGAGGCTGAGGGCAGGGGGGGTGGGGGGTGGGAATGGGGGATGACTGCTAATGGGTACAGGGTTTCTTTTTAGGGTAATAAAGATGCTCTAGAGTGAGACAGTGGTGATGGCTGCCCGATCTTGTGAACATATAAAAGTCACCGAACTGTATACTGGAGAAGGGTGAACTTTATATTTGAATTATATCTCAGTATAAAAAATAGTTTTTAAAAAATTTCCTACATCATACTACCGATAGAATTTTCTGCTCAAAACACCTCTAAAGTGAGGATGCATTATAAAATCAAAAGGATGCTCTGAGCACTGTTTTGCAGCCCCTTCCCTCCTCAGACATTTTACGCACAGCATCTGATAATGCTGATGCCGACCTCACTTTTTTCCTCATTCAGGCTTTTAGTGAAAATAACTCACTGTGACTCTGACCTGAAGGGTTTTTATTAGTTTGCCCCTAAAGTGATCTAGTCATGCTTAAAAAAATAAATATGAGGCCAGGCAAAGAGCTCCTTAATACACCCAAGTAGAAAGCACAGAACAGCTCTACCCTCTCCTCTAGCAGTAGCCTTTAAATATTTGTGGAACGAGGTGGCAAGTAGACAGATGAATAGGCAAAATTTCAGCTAAATGGCAAGAAAATGTGTGACACTGTTCCCATTTGGATCCTCCGTTTTGTCAGATTTCAGCTTCCTTCCCATGTTCCTATGTCTCTGGGATGTGGTCACATCAGAGAAGAAACAAAGGACTTAATTCACAAACAGGATGAGGATTTCCAAATAATGCGTATATAAATTTAAAAATTTTATATATGAATATAAATATATGAAAAAAGACTATAAAGCAGAGCCCTGATAATAGTGATCAAGTGAATAGTATTTATTTCTCACCTTGGTAGAGTTTCACTTCCATAGGTTTTGGCCCCAAACTCTTCCAGGTTACCATGAACTCAAGAGGGGGTCTGTCCCATGTGGCAATGGTCAAGGAAGTTGCCAAGGCCTGGACTGACCAAAGCTCTAAGAGTAGTAGAGAGATCTGGCTAACCCCAAAGTAGACCTGTAACAAGCCAGGGGAGTCCTGCTTGCCGCTTTCATTTACCAGAACCACCCAAAAGTCAGGGAGATCTGTGATTGATCAGGAGCCAGAAATCGGACCACTCCCCAAGGGCTGATATCCATCTGGGTGAGTTTTCTAACAACAGCCTGACCCAGGTTTGCTTCTCTTGGAGCTGATTACCACATGGTCAAGGCTACAAATGAAATGGCCATTTGGAGCCTTTTGCTAAACTGTTCTACTTAAAGCAGGAGTATGAAAGTCAAAAAATGTTTACATTTTACTTGATTACCTGGGGTGAATCTGCTTTCACATCTGAATAGTTTTCTAGCTTGAGGAGAAAAAAGGAAACATTTCAAAAACAACTGTTGTGTTTTGTTTTTGATTAGTAAAGAAAAATGTAAGGATTAACAACACATCCGTTTAATTTGTTTTTAAATATTTCTAAGGTTTAAAAAGTGTTTAAAGTCTGTTAATTTCTAGTAGGAAAATGTTATCTGAATGCAGGCCCTAATGGCAAACCACTGTAAAAATGTTTCAAAAAACAACTGTTATTTGGATTTTTTTTATTTGAACAATGGGGAGATAAAAGATTTCTACCTTTTGGTCTGATGGTTTTTCCTCCAATTAGAGGACACTTGGTATGTTCTAAAACAAATTATGGGTAATGCTTTGTAATTTTCATAACTATAGAAAATACACCAGTTTCTGCCACATGAACAATAATGATAATTGGGGTCCCATGCAACTAGACCTTATTTTATTTTAAATTCCTTATTTAAATTCAATTTAGTTAACATATACTGTGTTAGTTTCAGGAGTAGAATTTAGTGATTCATCAGTTGCATATAACACCCAGTGCTCATTACATCAAGTGTCCTCCTTAATGCCCACATCCAAGTACCCCAACCCCCCACCTCCCCTCCAGCAACCCTCAGTTTGTTTCTTAGAATTAAGAGTCTCCCTCTCTGTTTTCAGCTTATTTTATTTTTCCTTCCCTTCCCCTGTGTTCATCTGTTTTGTTTCTTAGATTCCACATATGAGTGAAATCACATGGTGGTGAGGATGTGGAGAAATGGGATCCCTCTTACACTGTTGGTGGGGATGCAAATTGGTGTAGCTACTGTGGAAAACAGCATGGAGTTTCCTCAAAAAGTTAGATATAGAACTACCCTATGACCCAGCAATTGCACTAATGGGTATTAATCCAAATGGACCTTATTTTAGGTGAAACAGTGTTCTTAATAAGGTCCCCCCAAAATTGTGGTGTCCCAGATGAGCCTATTTAATACAGACTGCGTTGGGATTCACGACAAGGTATCAGAGTCCGGGAACATTTTGGTAAAGGCAGCACTGAGATTCTTCAAACAGCCATCCTCTGAGGACAAGCCTCTTGATTCATGTTACTCCACACAGAGTGCAATGCAATGATGGGGCAAATCAGTATTAGTTACACTAATGACATATTCTCTAATCATTCATATCTCCACTACTTGATAGTAACATTGTTTCCTTCCAACAAATTTTAGCAACTGAGACCAAAAAATATTTTGGGAGTGCAACAGGCAAAAGATTCTGAAGCAAGGAACTACCTTTTGCGTTTATATTTCCATGGCTCCTTCTGAGCTTACCTACAGGCTGACGATAACGAAGGTGCTGAGGAGTGGAGGGTGACCGGCAAGGTGAAAGGTCCGTGCTGTCCGCCACCGGAGAGCTTTCCATTCCTGCTCGGTCCACGGGTGCAGACTCTAGGACAGCTGCTGAGAAACATCGGGAATTTTAACAACCAGGCCATGAATTCAAGACCTTCTTGTCAGTAGTATGCACAGAAACACAAAGGTTTATTATGGGTAACAGACTTTCAGATTAGTCTACATTTTTTAAAGGGCTTTAATATGAAATCAAGTGATGTTTCCTAGCAGAGTGCTAATGTCGCTAAATCTCAGTGCAGTGTCTTCTTTAACCCTGTCTCACTGACCCTACTGAGCCTGGCTAACCATACCCAGTCCTTTTCTGCCCAACACAACAGCAGATGTTCAAAAGAACAGGGGTTGTGCTGTGGGGAAGAGGGACATTTCCAGATTGTAAATCAGACTGGGATCAAAATTGGGACTTCACTAATTCTTTACTTGGGTTACCCCCTTACACCAACTAAAGTCTGAATCTCTACCAGTGTCCCCCCCCACCCCACCTCAGAAGCTCTGGGGACTAGTAAGGATCTACAGCTGCCGTATCCAAAATGGTAGCATTAGCCAAATGTGACTAGGTAAATTTAAATTAAAATTAACTAAAGTCAAATTACTATTTCAGTTCCTGACTTGCACTAGCCATATTTCAAGTGCTCAGTACCAAATGGGTTGGTGGCTATGGTACAGGATGGCAGAGATATAGAGCATTTCCATCCTCCCAAAAAGTTCTATTGGATAGCCCTGATCTAAAGCTACAGATCAGCAGGAGGCAAGTGGAAATTTTTAGAACGAACTATGGGGAAAGTTTAAGATCGTTTGAGCTTTTCCACTGCATCTAAGATCCCATGAATAAAAGACACATCATTCTAGGGTCACATTAGGCTATTACTGATGATGTTTCTGTACCACTCGCACTGGCTTATTAACCAGGTAAAACTACAACAATGTGTATGTTCTTTCATGGAAAAACAACCAAAAAGTCATAAATTTCCAGCGACTCTTTTATTTCTTTTTCCTAGAGCTTTTCATTAACCCATAACAGCTCTGTCACCTCCACTAATTTTCCATGACCCCTGTCGGCAGGATTGCTCTCAGCTTGGCTCCCTTTGCCATTCCATTCAAGATTTTACTCAATAAACCCTTCTAAAATCCCTAATGACTTCTTGCATGTGATTTACTTCCTTGGAAATATGGCCACAATTGATTTACTTCCTTGGAAATAAGGCCACAATTCGGCTCTTTTGCAATACAAAGGGGCCAGGGAAGGGAAATGGTTAGGCTCTTTCCCTGAATGACATAATTACAGTAAAGTTGGCAACGATGCGGGATACAGACAAAAAAATCCATGCTTAGCTGTTAGTTTTATTATTTTCTAAATAACTCCCTCAAAATTCTGTAATGGAAGGCATCTGCTCTGCAAGAGCAAGCAGAATACCAAATACACGTCCTTGGGCTGATTCAACCATTCAGTCCTCTGAGGCAAATGAAAAAACCATTTCGTCAGCAATTATACTGAACCCAAAAAACTTCCCAGTGAGAGAGATGGTCAGGCCCTGAATATCCCCTGAAAGAAGAGGAAAGCAAAGAATAACACTGTAAGCAAACAGGCAGCTACAGAGAGAAGAAACCATGCCAGCAGGGTGGGGGAGAAGCAGCATTTCCTTCTGGCATGTTCACTTTCAATCAAGTTCCATGCAAACAGCTTTGCTTTCAGGATGAGTAGGCAGATGTGGGCTCAAAACAAATGCTAAAATTGGGAGCACTTTCAGCCCACGGCAGGCAATTTTCAAGCTAAGCACACAGAAACAGACACCAGTGATGTGGGCCGTGCAGCAACATTTCGGCTGGGTTGCACAGTCGTGACCCGAGTGCACACTGGCGGGTGAGAGGCCCCAACACAGGGGGCGGTCCTGTGCCTTCCCTTCCTTGCCCGCCACTGGCTGGATTTTTGTGGAGATCCAACCATCAGGTGGAATACAGATGTAAGTTGGGCTGAGATGTGCACTTCTAAAGAAGATCCAGGGTGGAAGAAGGAAGAAAGGAGGGCACTAATGAATAATAGGTGAGCCTGGGGCCGATCGAGGTGGGGAGGTGGGGGGGAATAAAGTGCATTCGTTTCCCTTCGAGGTTCATCGTTTTGCTCACTTTGAGGGATAGTTCCTATTTCTCTTCTTTCCCTTTATACCATTTGAAGTTTTCTTGCCAGGAAATATTGCAAGGCTGGCATTAGCACTGCAATGACAATAAAACTGGACAAAGGTCACTAGCATTTTCCACACAGTGTGCCCTGAAATGTCTAGCTGATCAGCAGTGAGAGAGACCTACGGCCTCAGTAGGGACCTAATGGATGAAGCTGGTATTACGCAATGAGGTTGTACAAACTTGTATCCTGAAGTGAAAAGCCAAAAATGTATAAACTATTGGCACAGAATTCTTATTCAAGTTTGCCAACTGTTTTAAGTGTTAACATTATGCAAAGCACATGCAAACATCTTTCAAATTAAAGACAGATCAGTGTCTCCCTTTTCCTTGCCGATTAGAATTTTCAAGACTAGACACAGCAGCACTCTTGGCTCCTACAGACATCGTGTACACACACACACACCACGCTGAACCTGTCAGACTGACGCTGAAGTGAAGTGTTTTATCCATGACTTTCTTAGGCCTGTTTATGACTGACTAATATTGCTCATTTACCAATGCAAAATAAAAGAAAAATCTATGATTTCTTTGTTTCACCTCTTCAGAAAAATGCCACAGAGCTCCCTGGTCTCCAGTGTTAATTTTAAGCTTTCTACTCACAGCATTTCCTTTATGGGAATCCACAGGATCAATTGTTCTCAAGTTCCAGTAGGAAGAAAAGATGTGCCTGTACACCAGTCTATTCTTAGGTTTCAATATGAATCACATAATTGATCATTTTCAGAACCCAAACCAGGGCGACTCTAGGAACTGCAGAAGACCACACAGTGTTGTGTTCTCTGTTCACTAACCATACCCTTGGCCTCATACAGTTTTTCTTCATTGCCTGATTTCCTTATTCATTTTATTTTTAATCCAGCTGTATGATGTTCCTGTTTGAACTACCACTTTAACTACTTGTTAGGAACAAGTAGGAACAAGATGGGAAGAAAATACATTAAACATAATCAGAATACAGCTACAGAAAGGGAAAAGAAATAAAGATGTAAAGGGGATGGAGAACCATCTATCACACTAATGGACATCGAAAGAAAATCAGAGCAGCCACATTTATATCAGACAAACTCGATTTTAAACCAAAGACTGTAACAAGAGATGAAGAAGGGCATTATATCATAATTAAGGGGTCTGTCCATCAAGAAGACCTAAATATTAATGCCCCCAACTTGGGAGCATCTAAACATATGAATCAATATAAATTCAAATAACAAATATAAAGAAACTCATTGATAATAATACGATAATAGTAGGGGACTTTAACACCCTACTTATAGCAACGGACAGATCATTTAAGCAGGAGATCAACAAGGTAACAATGGCTTTGAACAACACTGGACCAGATGTACCCTACAGATATATTCAGAGCATTTCATCCTAAAGCAGCAGAACAGATATTCTTTTTGAGTGCACACGGAACATTCTCCAAAATAGATTACATACTGGGTCACAAATCAGCCCTCAACATGTACAAAAAGACTGAGATCATAGCATGCATATTTTCAGACCACAACACTGAAACTTGAAGTCAACCACAAGTAAAATTTGGAAAGACCACAAATACATGGAGGTTAAAGAACATCCTAGTAAAGAATGAATGGGGTAACTAGGAAATTAAGGAAGAAATAAAAAAGTACATGAAGCAAATGAAAATGAAAACACAACAGTCCCAAACCTTTGAGATACAGCAAAGGCAGTCCTAAGAAGGAAGTGTAACGCAATTCAGGCCAACCTCAAGAAGCAAGAAAAGTCTCAAATACACTCCCTGAAAGAGCTAGAAAAAAGAAGAGCAAATAAAACCTAAAGCCAGCAGAAGGGAAATAATAAAGATTAGAGCAGAAATAAATGATATAGAACCAAAGGGAAAAAAAAAAAAAACCCAGTAGAACAGATTAAGAAAACTAAGAGCTGGTTCTTTGAAAGAATTAATAAAATTGATAAACACCTAGCCAGACTTATCAAAAAGAAAAGAGAAAGGACCCAAATAAATAAAATCAGGAATGAAAGAGAAGAGATCACAACTAATACCACAGAAATACAACCAATTATAAGAGAATATTATGAAAAATTATATGCCAGCAAACTGGGCAATCTGAAAGAAATGGACAAATTCCTAGACATACAAGCTACCAAAGCTGAAATAGGAAGAAACAGAAAACCTGAACAGACCCATAACCAGCAAAGAAATTGAATCAGTAATCAAAAATCTCCTAACAAACAAGAGTCCAGGGCCAGATGGCTTCCCAGGGGAATTCTACCAGACATTTAAAGAGTTAATACCTATTCTTCTCAAACTGTTCCAAAAAATAGAAATGGAAGGAAAACCGCCAAACTCATTCTATAAGGCCAGCATTACCTTGATTCCAAAATCAGACAAAGACCCCACTAAAAAGGAGAATTACAGGTCAATGACCATGGTGAACATGGATGCAAAAATTCTCAACAAGATACTAGCAAATTGAATCCAACAGTACATTAAAAGAATTATTCACTTTGATCAAGTGGGATTTATTCCTGGACTGCAGGGGTGGTTCAATATTCACAAATCAAAGTGATATACCACATTAGTAAAAGAAAAGATAAGAACCATATGATCCTCTCAAATGACACAGAAAAAAAAAAGCATTTAACAAAATACAGCATCCATTCTTGATAAAAACCCTCAACAAAGTAGGGATAGATGGAACATACCTTAACATCATACAGGCCATATACGAAAGACCCTCATCCTCAATGGGAAAAAAAACCGAGAGCTTTTTCCTCTACAGTCAGGAACACAACAGGGATGTCCACTCTCACCATTACTATTTAACATAGTACTGGAAGTCTTAGCCTCGGCAATCAGACAACAAAAAGAAATAAAAGGCATC